GCACTCACGCACAAATTCACACAAGTCGAGATGTTCAAAGTTTGTTTTGTACAAACAGCGTGAAACATCGCAGGCAACAGCAGCAGCGGCACCTCATATGAAGTGTTTACATTACATTAGCCTAAAATGATGCCAGTTTGCATAGTCTACAAACAAACACATACAAACATTTGCACATGCGAATTTACTCTTTATTCTATAGTTATATACATACATACATACATACATAGTTATGCACACATGCACACTACTCAGCTCAGGTGGAAGATGTGTGCAGTTGATATATAGTATGAAGTAGCTGAGCAGCTGACAGTATCTGAGGAGCTGTCTATTTGAGTATCTCTGTGTTTGCTAATGTCATTAAATCCCTTTTCGCTTAATTAATGTAACAAAAGCTTGTGGAAAAAGGTTCAACAATGACTGTCATTACGCTCGCCTCGTTATGCAGCAACGTCACAGGGCATTATCCGAGGATATTAAGGCGAATCTGTGCTGGGCTAATGACGCTACCATATCCAAACAAGTAAATACATACAGATAGTATTATTATATGTATGAGGACATTGAGCTTTAATTCTGATAAACGGCGAAAATATTCAATTTGCCTTAATAGACGCTGCTGAAAACGAATGATGGACATTGCGTAGCTCGTAAGAAAACTAATTTGCGCTTACAAACCAAATATGCCCAGCTAAATAAATTTGCAGAGTTGTAAAGGCGCGTGTACGTCGATCAAACTAAGCACTCCACCAAACCCTTAAACACAGCTTCAGGATGTTTCTAAACAATGCGCTTTCACCCTTTCCCGCGCACACCCTCAATAGAACAACAGACAAGCACTGCGTTCATTTACTACTACATACACATTTTCTACTTCGATAGAATAACTTTTAATTATTTCTACACACACACACACACACACATATTTAATGCGCTTTATAAGTACACAAACACATACATACATACATATGTATGTATGGAGATAAGTGCGAGGAACTTCTACGAAACTCACCTGCGAAGTAGGTCAACATGGCGCTTAGGACGACTGTTACTAGTATTAAGGCGATACTCAAACATTTCCAGGAACATCGGTGCTGGCAGCGCTTATCTATGTGAAACCTGCAAGAATGGCAAAGAAAAAGACCGTCAAATTAGACAAATAGAGCACACACACAAATATGTACATATGTATATTCATACCCTGCAGTGAACAACCAAACCAGTCAATAAAAATACAAACAATACAATTATTTCAATTTAAATATAAATAACAAATTTGAAAATCTAATTTCATTTGAAAAAATAAAATAAAATTTGCAAAGAAATCCTTGAGCCATAAAAATTAAATTAATTTAAAAAAATATATATTTTTCTTCTTAAAAAAGTAAGTTTCAAAATTACAATAAAAAACCTAAACAATAAAATACATAAAAAAATTTGACAAAAATTCCTGCCCAAGGACTTGAACCCCGGACCTGAGTACGGACACGCTAATGCAATGCAAAATGGCATACTTGTTCCTTACACGGGGTTATGATTTCGCCGACATCTCGTGGGACATCGCCTTGTTACAAATACCAGTCGCTAACACTGCAAACGGATAGAACTTGAACTAGTTGGGCAGAAACGAAAACTGGTAGTTTTCCCTGTAGGGTATATATGAACGCATGCGAAAAAGTAAAGTCGGAATTCTAGTGCTCTCCCCCCTAAGATTTTTCTATACCAAAAAAAAGTTATGCCCCTATTTTTTATACTCAAAAAATATTCAGCGGTCGCTTAAAGCGCTTCGATTAGAAAACTTTGTTTGTCTTCAGAAGACTTCCGCTAATAATACCCAATTGTTTATTTTACAATTATTTAATATGTAATAATGATTTTCTATGGGTACCCATATTGCAATTTTTTGGGTTTCGAGGGATCCTATAAAATGTAGTTAATAATAAAGAATGGTTAAATATATAATTGGGTAATATTACTGAAAGTCTTCTGAAGAGAGAAAAAAGTTTTCCGGTCGAAGAATATAGATTCTCAAGACGTTTATACCATTTCTACGAAGAAGTGTTTATTCCTCATACAAAGTACATGGAAAACTTTGAGCGACTTCTAAATATTTTTTTATTTCAAAAAAAAAACAGAGTTATAATTTTTTCGGTATAGAAGCATTAAAACTCCGACTTTACTTTTTTGGACCACCCTGGTGTGTACATACATACCCTTGTGGTCAGCTGATTAAGTCAACTGACATTTGGACTAGTTTTGGCTATTTTTCCTTACTTTATTTAATGTTTATGTTTTTTTATAAAAGTCTAACCTAACCAGCGCCACATAAATCCACATTTCCAACTTCGTACACTAAGAAAAAAAAACGCGTTGTAATAATAAAATTTTTTTATTTGATTACCGTTTAAAAATGTTCGTATTTAAATCAAGCGATGTGATGTTGATTCAAACTCAACATTTGAAAACACATTTACATGTATGGCTGTAGCTGAGTGCGCAAAGACGCTTGATCCAATTGGTTGCTGCCAAGAGGGTCTGGGTTCAATTACCATCAGGCGGAACATAAAATTAATTTTTTTCGTTTCCTTCTTAATTTCGAAAAGGCATCTGTGCACTTCACAACGACATATTTTATAACGTAGGCGTATTTTTTTTAATTTAGCACGTTTTTTTTTTAATTCTAAAATTTTTTCCCTCAGTTCACAAAAATTATGGAAGCTCAACAAACCTCAACATTTGTACCCGAAAATTTAAAACTTTTAATTCAGAATTTTTTGTAAATTTTAGGTATGCAGCTTTATAGCTCATTCAATTTGAGTACAGTACTCCCCGCTTAATTGTGAATTGACTTCCCCGCTTATTTGAATTACCTTATCGGTAAAAGAATATTGCATAAAAAATCCATATAAATTTTCCCGCATTAATTGAAAGTTTGAAATGTGCATTTATGTGGCGCTGGTTAGTTAATATGCTAAACTTGTATAAAAACATATAAACATTAAATAGACAAAAAAAAACAGGCAAAAACTAGTCCAAATGTGCTTTGACTTAATCAACTGACCACAAGTATATGTATGTAGTAGTTTTTAAGTACCAATGCATGTATGTATGTACATGTACATATCCATATATAAGCGACAGTCCGTTTAAAATAATAGGAACGAAGCGGCAAAAGCAACAGGCAAATTAAAAATAAACAAAATAAAACCTGTTGTCACACATATTCTGGTCGTTTCCGATGTGTTTAGAGAGGCAGGACGGACTTGGCTGGAGTTTCAGGACCTGAAGGTAATTCGTAGTGATTATCTTAATTGTGTTTATGTGTAGTTTTAGTTTAAGTTGCGGTTATAGTGGTGATTAAAATTAGATTAAAAATAATGTGCCGGGTTGGTTGGTTGGTGAAAGCTTTGAAAGCTTTAAAACCATTTCCAGCTGTGTGTGACCGTTGCATCAAAAGATTTCATTGGCCGTTACTTTTAATTATCTCTCAACACAGTAAATAGACTTTGGTAACGATGCTCCCACTGGTAAGTTAAAAATGCAATTGCAATTAATTGACCATTATATTAAGAGCTTGAAATATCAGAGTAACTTGCTAAGGGTTTGCGCCTACGGAGCTTGCTGTCAATTCTTAAATTGTGAAACTCGTTTGATACTTTTACCAAAAAAAAATATAAAAAATCTTTATACTATGCGAAATCATCATAAGAAGAAGGAGAGGGAGCCAGTTCGTGAGTGCGAAGAGCATGAGATGATGGCAGGAAAAATGCGGCAGAAATTTCCGTCAGTAAGAAGGCAAAAACCAAATCTCTTGAGACCCAAGGATGTTTCTTTCATATACGAAGATGGCAGTCTGGTGACATATATCCAGAGTTCATTTTAAATATGGGGGGATCACTTTCCACCACTTTTGAACAGCTCTGCACCGGGGCGCGTTTGACGACGCATAACCTAAGCCTAAGAGGCTAATATATTGGGACGATGCTTAGTTTCCTTCACTAGACGAAGAAGAAACGAGAATTGCAATAATGAACAATAATTAGACCAAAGAACAAAATTGCGCCTAGATTCTACGAAACATCGGCAGTGTGCTAACTACCCCAGGATCCTGCAGGAAATGCAGTCTCTTTATGAACCACCTGACCGGGATGTACCAGTGTGGCTGCGTGTGGGAAAGGCCCTCGATAAGCAAATCAAAACACACCACCTTTACGCTGAATTCGAAGCCACTTTCGACAGCATGAAGAGAAGCTGCCTCTAGAACTTCAGGCTTACATTTTGGGATTCCCGCAAAACTAATTCGAGACCAACCGAGGTTTTGGACAATCGCGATTCTGCTGGAGTGACATTGACTTTGCCGTCATAAACAACAAGGCCGGGCTTACAGCAATTTCCACCTCAGAGCAGAAAGCAAATAACGAAGGCGAAGAACTTTTCCCATGGTGAAATCATAATAAGGTGTGATTGATAGCGAAGTGTTTGTTGAGATTTTGAAAAAGGCTGCGGTTTTACTGGCACTCCACTAAGGAAAATAATGCAATGCCGTCTGTTTATGCTTTTACTTCGCTTCGCTAAACCGTTCGTTCCGCCAAATTCATTTGCTTCGCAAGTGATAATACCACCCTAAGGGTGGTGCTGAAATTATTTTATTTTATATACACGGGTATTTGTAATATTGATGTGCTTTAAGCTATCTAAAAAATCATTACAAGCATTATAGGAAATTTCCTTATTTTACAAAATTTTGTTTAACTATAAGTTCTAATATATGAGCAAGCCTCACGAAGGTGTCGACACAAATATGCTTGTACAACTCGTAAAATTGGATGATGGCGTCCTAGTGAAAAAATTCTCCGATTCGACATTCGTAGGTTTCATCGTCCATCTAGACCAGGATACCAGGTGCATAAGGCTCTATCTGCACTTGAGTCGAACTACTGGTGCAACTTCGCCATAAGTCAGGGCACAATTTTATTAACAAAATTTTTCTCTTTGATAACTAGAAGAATAATTCCTTTTGAAGAAACTTTATACGGCTATCTTATTGGTTTTGTTTATCTATTCTATTTGATTACTATTCCTCCGCCGAGTTAAGCGAAATCAACTGGAAAGAAAAATTAAGAGAAAATGAAATGAACCCTTGGTAGAAAAGTATGAGAAATGAGGAAGCCAGCACCCACGTACGCTTTGTGGCCACCGTTTTATGTTCGTTACGACTTTTAATACTGTTGCAGTGCTCACCGTCACCCGCTGTACCAATGTTGCAATGTCACGGTATTACAAATCATTATTAACTTCATTTTTGTGCAACGCGGATTTTCTCATTTGCGCGTTAAACCGCATTGCAAAAACGACAGCAACCGCAACCGCAACAAGAAATGGCGGCGACAACAACGCGATCAGATTCGAACGCAGCGCTAGCCATTCTTCTTATCCTTCACACTGCGTTCACACCTCGTGGCATTTGCATGCAGCTGACAAATGCAGCAAATGTGGCACGAACGTACATTAAAGTGGGATTCGCAAGGAGCTCAGTGCTACCGGCGCTGCCACGGGTAATCGACGTCTGGTAACAGTTGGTATTGCCGCGCCCTGAAGAAGCTTGCCACAGCGCCACAAAGCGATTTATAACTGCCGAGGTGATGCTTTAGTTTTATTAACGTGCGTGCGTGTGTGTGTGTGTGTGTGTCTGTTTCAGAGGAGTGCTGCCAGAACATGCAGTCATGTTGTTGCAACACGGAAAGTGTTGCATTTGTCATGTGCGAAACGTGCGAACCGTTTACAAGCGCGCGGTGGAGCGGTGGAGCGGGACGACGTTGCACTGCGTGTTGCGCGTGGCACGTATCTCTTTAATGTATTTTTATGTTGATTATGCTTATTGCCATGTCTTAGCCAAATGGATGGCATTGCTAACGATCTCGGCTTAGAGTCTACATTTGACATTATGCTCCGCTTTCCGCTTTATTCTCCTACTTGGCGGCAGCCACTGCTTGTTGCCTTGTCTTTGTGTAAGATTCTTAAATAAATCTTACTTTTCGTAAAAACACACTTTCAAAGAATTTGTCATATGTTGCGACACGTTGCATGTTGGCTTATTGTGCAACATTGGTAGCAAATAGTCGTCGTCTGATGCGCATCTACAAACACATATGTATTTAGTTTCAGTATAAATAGTTACATATTTCTTGAGCGGTAGCTATCGCCACAACAGCAACAACCTGAACATCAGCTAGAATTGCCAGATTTAAGGTGTAAGCGGGATTAAAATGCGTTCGGTTGGCGCAGCAACTGTTACTGAAATGACGTGCGCGTTTGAAGTTGCTACCTGCAACCCAACAGCAGCAGCATCGCCATCGGCATTGGCAGCAGCATCAGCTGCACGAATCCAGATTTAATTTTGCTTTTACTTATTCTGATGCTGCTTCAGATTCCGCTCGAATCGCCAGCTTAAGTTGGTGCTTATGTGGAATTAGAGCTTAAAATGCTGTAAAAATACGCGTACGCCAGGATTAGTAGTGGCGAATGTGCGGCAGCGAGCGAACAAATCAAAGTAACCCATACCAATGTCAACAACAACTACAACAACAAAAAAACATCAACTTTAAATGGGAGACATAAAGTGCAATAAATAAGCGAATGAGTGAATGACTGACTCACTGGATGAGCTGAAAGAGCAATTCACAAAGGTGATTCTGTTTACGATGGAGACAGCCAGCTTACAGCGGCAAAGAATTTTATTACGCAACTAAGAAGGACTTAACGGAGCACAAAGTAAACTAAGATGCATGCAGGCAATACAGACGGAAGAAGATGGAGTCAGTGGCATGCAAACGAAGAGATAATATTTCGAACAAGCAAGAAGGCGGCTAGAAGCGAACCTGTATTGGATTTATCCGCATTTTAAAGATAGTTCTTAGAACACTGTTCGAGACACAGCTTCTTTTAAACATTGATTTAAGAAAAACTTGAATTTGCTGCAGAGTTTAGTCTTCTCCAATTTGCAAGTTTAACAACTAAAGGATCTCAAAAAGTTGTGTCCTTTTGATCAAAAATCCAAACCACGGCTAGACGGTTGCTATGCCATAGTTTTGGATGCCATTTGGGTATCTAATTTCGCAATGCATACAGACTTTCTCATCACCATCAGATCCTTGCATTTTCCTTTACGATATGATTGCTCCCTTTATAGAAAACTCAGCTAAATATTAAAATGTCTGTCATTTTCGGCATCCCATTAACTTTCCACCACTTCCGATCACATGCCCCTCATACCTCAATTCGGGGGTGCACTACAAGCTGCCACTTCACTGCGAAGCGTTAAGTTGCCACATTAATTGCCACCGTTGTCACCACCACCCACCCAATGGCAATTAACTGCCACTCACAACGCGACAGCCAACTACTTTTCAAACGCCTTTTCCACCTCACAGCCAGCATGCAACTCTATCTATGCCATTTGCCACACCATGTGCACGCACGCACTCACGTTGCGCTTTCACACTTCATCATTTTGTCTATTTACCTTGTCTTGCCACGACCTTAGTTTGTCTCCAAGCAGAGTTGCATGCGCGCGCGTGTGGGTGGCATGCAATGTTGCACATCATATTTGCAACCTCTTGACGTTCGCATCCATGCGCGTGGTGCAAGCGACGGTGTATGGAGCTGATGATTGCGCGGTGCCGCCGGATGGAAGGGTGGCGGCGACGACATAAAAAATGCGCGACGCGGAAAACTTTGCACTGTCAACACATTAATGCAACGTAATAATTTCGTGCCGCTGCAAGCCGCGATGCGCATCCCTGCCGCACCTCATTTATGTGCCGCACTGTGCATTTGAATGGCACGCTACCGCCTGGCGTGGCGTGGCGTGCGTCGCTGCATTGAAACTTCTTCATTATTCACCACTGAATGCAGCATCGGAATTAGTTGGTGCTTCCTACAAGTCGAGGCTATTGAAGTCGCTGCTACTTTAGCTCCAGCTTGCTTTCCTATTGACATAACGGGAAATTGGTCATTAGTTGTAGACAGCGTTAAGTGCCCCATCGCCTCACCTTCGCCCATTTGTGGCTGCCTTCCATCACATGTCATTTGACTGAATTACTGGGATGGGCTTTCGCTCTAGGCGCAGTTGTTTCTGTAATTTATGTTTACAGCGGTGAAATGCCAGTGCCATTTGCCCCATTTGCCACAATCGCAACTTCCAGTGCCCGCGAGCAGGCAATAAGCGGAAAGTGTTGACAATTTTCTCCGATTTTTTGCATCGTAATTTCAAATGCAAATTAGTAGCACTGACATGGGCTTGCACCATCAACAGCGGCTGGCACAAATTGCTGCTGCCGCTTCGGCAAATAGGCAAATTTATTACAGACTGCTAAATTGGCAGGCGAATAAGTTATTTATTTGGTGGCATGTTTGAGCACCGCAACAAATGGCACCAGCTCAAACGCTGCGGCGCATAAGTAGTGCTTAAGCGGGTCCACCACACGTACATATGTACCTTCACACTGTTGCAAGAAGCGTTAAGTGCTTGCCTCAAGCGATCACACCACTTCGCAGTCAGCGTGGTTGCAGCTCCTTCATGTTAACGGGAATACTTGGAATTCCGTCGATCTTCGAACAACAATGCAAACAGGCTTACAAGTGGAAAATGGACAATGCAAATTGATAGATATATCGAACACGGGAACACTTAAGTGACCCACTTGCTGCTGCTGGCCAGGCAGCTGTCTTCAACTCGCTAATTTATGCATCGTCACGTGCTGGCCATAGCCTCCGACAATTATTGCTTTTTATGACTGTATTTTGTGGCGCGTTGATACTTTGGTAATCTGCCTGCTTGCAAGCGAATTCGACATGGAAGCAAACGACATTCTTTGATTTTGAAACGAATGCTTTAAAGTGTCGGCCCATCGGAAATTTTCGAAGCTGTACGTAGAAAGGCAGAAAGAGAACTGTGGAAAAGAGTAGGAATGAAAGAAGCGATCACACCTCCAAAGAGCCACAACTCAAAATTAAAACACAAATCGTAAAGTGTTCTTTTATCGCTCTTGAAATTTTGAACGTATTGGAGAGTGCAAATCATTACATAAATATATGGGAGTATTCAAGATTCTTTATCTCAACACGAACTACGGTATTTGGGCAAGGAAGTAGGTGTTTTCATTCTTTCATTCGTGAGCACTTAAAGGATTATCCATAAAAACCGTTAACTCCTTTTCAACACTACGGCTTGCTGGAACTTCATATTCATAATGAGCTCAAGTAAGCTCAAGGCATATTGAACAGACACATGGAGCAGTCTGACAAATTTCAATTTAAAATTACAAAATCAACATCGATATCCAGACAGCTGGTTTTTCCTCTGCTGCTGCTTGGGCAATGTGCTTTGGGTGATCTGAAACTTTATGAAATTTGTTTAATGCCTGCCCTATCGCCAACTGCAACTAGCTCTAGCAAAATTCCGTCAATTGTTCAACCCGAGGTCAAGCAGATCCCTCAGCGTTTGGTCCTTTCATTGCCTTCGTGAGCGCCCTTGCTTTTGCTATCCAAATACATAAAACTTCGTTAGGCCTCGCACAAAATTCACTTCGGCCGACCGTAGCGCTCTTAACAGCTGGCATAAACGCTCGACCTTCTCTTCGCCACAGACTTTGAACAACTCATCAGTGGTGCTCATATTAATCCCGGCGATTAGGAATTGCTGAAAGTTCGCAAAGGTCCGTTGTAGCTGCAGCTTCTAGTTGAGTTCAGGAGTTATCGGTGAATTTGAGTGTGGACTGGTCTCAATTCAAACTGGTTTAGGCGATATGAATGCTCTGTTGGCATATTTAATAATAACACAGGCCCACAAAAAAAAAATCGATGAAAGGTTCCTTTGACCAAAGCTAGTCTGTTATATGTTTTTGGGGTCGCTGAACACGACTCTGAAGTCCGTTTTTCTCCATCACGTCTGGATTTTTTCTAACCTCAAAAAAAAACATCTCGGATTTTCCGTGACAGATTTGACAATTTTGTTTGTAGTCACACGATTGGTACAATACAGCGAGGTTGTATTGAAAATTTTTAACAACAAAATATTTTCCGTGATTGGAATAAAGAATAAATATTTGTTTATTCACACGATTGGGATATGATTTGCACCAATATTTTAGGCAAATTCCCATTCGTGTAACTCTACCTTAAGGCAGAACCTAGCTTCGTCATATTAATTTTAGTGTGGAATCAAAAATAAGCATTTCAGCGGTTATTCGTATTTTTAACACAAAGGCAATTTAAAGTTTTAAATTGTACGTATGTCCTGTTCTCTTTACTTTTTACATAACCGTCTCTTCGTGCTTCGATATTTTTTCTGGTGACTTTCCAGCTTAACTCCGTTGCGTTGCAAAATAAAAAAAATAAAATAAATAAAAATACGTAAAGAGGCAACTTACCTGGATGGCGAATAGGGCGAGTAGTGCGGTGTATGCGCTGAGTGTGAGTTACGCAACGGGAACCCGGGCATTACCAACGGCTGTGAGCCGCTCATCTGACAATGCGGTCCCCCCGGTCCATTCATGCCTGGCCCACCGCCACCACCGGGCACTCCGCCGCCCCGGTCGATGCCGCCGTGACCCAGCGTATTGTTGCCTGTTGACATACTTTGCGCCATCTGTTGTTGATGCCCGCCCGGCATTGGACCCAATCTGCCGAGAAAAAAACGAAAATGGAAAACAAATTTAATAAATATTTATTTACGAGTATAAAGTCAGTTGAGTTGGTGTACTCATTACAATGTTTGTTGTACTCGTTTGTGCTTATATTTGTAGGCATATTTGCAGTTGAAAATGCGAGCGATGCGCCCTGTTGCATAATACTGCATATACATAAAAACAACACCAACAACAACAGCGAAAAGCCGGGAAAATGCAAAACACAAATGGCGCTGCCGTTGCTTTGGGCGCTGGGAAATTCGTCGGATGCTTCGTTGTTTTATTGACAAAGCACACATACACATGCATGCACTTGCGCGTTAGTGTGCGCGAGCGTGTACGTGTGTGTGTGTAATTTTTTATGCAGCAATTGTATGCACGCGCGTGCAAAATAAAAATGGCCATTATGGCGGGAGTTAAGTAAAGCGGAAATTTTAAATTAAAAAACATAAATCAATAGGGCGCACAAAGCCCGGCCGCCCTAGTGCCCCGCCCGCCCGCTCCACCGCAGCAACATCGCATGGTGGAGCGCCAATCGAACGTCCGGCGGCGTAGTGCGCCATCTGGCCAAGCGCCATTTCCATTGTCCATTGTTGTTTTTATTTGCGCTGTTTTCCGCACCATTGTTGCATCTGCGCCGTTAGTGTTGCCCTGCATTGTTATCGATGGCTGCTTTTTTGTTGCTTTTGCGCGCCATATTATCGGCAACATTAAACGGATGTGCGCCTACGGGCACTCGGCCACACGATTACAGTTCAGTGGAGCTGCTCTCTTCGACTTATTTATTTTAATTTTGTTTGCGTTGAATGCTCGTATTTGCCTGTGTTGTATTGTACTGTACTGCACGCTACAACTGCGCCAAAAAGTTGGCACTTTGTTGTTGTTTGGGCACGGAACTTTCAGTTTATTTATTACAGCTTCGAGGCATTTGTCACAGAGGACTTTGGCCGAAGCACCAACTTTTCACTGATTTGTAGTATGAAATATGCAGTGTATAGTATTAGGCGCGACAGCAGAGATTACGCTCATCGACAAGAAGCACAACAAAGACCAGGGCACATCCATAAATTTCCAAGCATTTGCGAGAGTGCCACAGCGAACATTTTGTGCTGATAATTATTTCGAATAACGGTCGAAAAAATAGTAACAAACTATTCGCAGGACAGACTAAGTGATCTAAACCAATTCAAAAATAAGTTTCGGACATCACTGCACTAGTTTCCGCTCGGCTATTTATTCTGATTTTAATACGCCCGCTTTTCAAGGGACGCTCGTTTCCACTTTGATTCAATACTTATACAATTACTTCAGTCTCTTGCTCGCCGTGTGGAGGGGTCAAAAATTCCCGCGTGCATGTTTAAACCAAATTCACTCTCTTCGAGACTCGACCGCAACATCAAAGCTCGAACTTTCGTCTGCGAAAGTCCAGTCAACTCCATCGCACAAGTGCAGCTCATCGCCAAATAGCCGCATCAACCACAGCCATAGGAAGACAGGAGCTCTGCAACTTGATCGTCACCCCCATTTTCGCATATATGTATGTATACATATTTATATGCTTATATGTGTGGGTCAATGCTTTGCAACTAGTATTGACCACATCCTGCCTTCATCTTCCTTCTGGCCGCTTGTCAGCTAAGCGACTCACTTAAGCAGTCTGCCCAACGTGCAGGAGGGCAGAAAGCTGGCCTCGCTCGGCCTGTGACCACATCAAAACGCTGACATAGACTCTGGCTGTATGGTCGAACAACTTAATTCAAATTGCTTAAATCTAAAGTTTTGTTGTTAATAAATCACCAGCACAGGCATTCAGACACATACAAGTCATACGTCGACGATGAGTGGCAACGAAATGAACTGCTAGCCACCCAACTCAGAGAGCTCAGTTGAACCGTAGGCACCACACAAGTTCCGACTAGAACTCCGAAGTTTGTGTGTGTGTGTGTGTCTGGCAGAATGCAGTAGCTCGGAGGGTAACATACATATGCAAATTTGTCTACTTGGACTGCCAACTTCGTGCAGGTTTAAGTCACAACACACACAGGCATTAAACACGTACGTACGGGCTTTTTGCAACGGCCTAACTGAAAAGCTAAAACACACATATACCAAAATTCATGTACTGAATATTGTGTAGGGAAAAGCAAAGGGGCCGGTGGCATGGACACCGCGACGGTATTAATAAATTAGAACCCATGAATCAGTAAAAGTGGCAGCAGCTGGCCACACAACCCTTGGAAGAAGGGGTACTGGAAAGTTCTTAAACTACATAGCGGGTGGTGCTAAGCTGTTGGATAGAATTTAATAAATTCCATTGCATATATTTAGGTGTTTAAGCATGCTACGTGACGAAAGTAGTCATTCACCTTGCAGGTCATTCGTTTTGAATTGTTGGCGATGATTTAACGAGCAAAGTGAAATTACGGAGAGTAGAAAAGAAATAATTGAGGAAGATTATAGTCGTATCAAACGGTCTTAATTTTCTAAAATATTCAATAAATCAACATTTAATCGGAAAAATAATTATGGTTGCAGGTTGGATTCTATGCCTGCCTATAAGAGAGCATCTCTGGAAACAGTCTTTCGAAGCTCTTTTCTGTCTTTCGAAAGACCAATCGAAAGAACTAGCTAGCGAATCAAGCCATTGGTGCATTTGTAAACATTGATAAATTTGGACACTGACAGAGTGGTGTTGTTTGGAAATTTTTTTATTGAGCTGAACTCATTCTGCATAAAGTTTTTAAACCACAAAATCTAAAACTGAAAAGAAATCTAAATTACAGAAAAAAAATAACATAAAATAAAAAACCCACTGCCCGACGACTCGAACCTCAGATCTCTCGAATAGTGCTCCAGTGCTTTGCTCGCTCGGCCACGGCGACTGTTGGTGCAGCACGAACAAAATGACATATGTACATTTAGAATTTGGGATAACCTGAGCAGCACTGCCAGCTGCCACTGCTGTATTGTGAGTCGCTTCATTGGACACCACACTTTCTAAAAAGAACAGCTGATTTCGAAAAACTGCCACTGCGTTATTGTATTTTGGGCTTTAAGATTGCCAAAGCTGGACAGCCAAAGAGCAGATGCTGAGATGATTTCATCTTATCGTCTTATTTGTTAGATTAAGAGTTTGGAGCGATGTTTAACCTTACCGCATGGAATTTAATCACACTACCTCCAATCTCGAGACGTGCGCTTTGTTTGAATTTAAGAGATGTTTATTGATCTACTCTTGGCCAGAATGACTTATCCACCTTGCATTCTAAAGTTTTTGCTAAGATATCGCAGAGCTGACCTTCTGATTGAAAGGGATCACGGATACCCCCTCATAATTTTCTGTCGCATCATCAACGATCAAAACGCCTTAATTGCTGTCTCACCATCGATGTATATCGCATATTCACAGCAAAAACAGCGGCTACATTCCTCGCATAAGACACCTCTTAAGTGGTTTTCTATTCAACTTTGATCCATTCGTGAATAACCTCACTTGCCCTGACGCCGAAGATTTCAAAATGTTTAGCATGGCGCTAACCGCTAGTGTGGCAACGACTGAAGTGTCCCCCCTATTTCAATCAGGGAAGCTCTTTTCGCCACCTCCAACAGCTGCACAATGCTTATCCTTATCTTGTGCATTTCATCCTTACCCCTTGGCTTCCAGGCTAGCTCGCTTTCCAGGAACAATTAGATCCTTAGAATAATTTGACGAATAGCCTGCAATTCGCAGCCCAGTTCACAACCCATTTCAGGTTGCCTTGCTTAAATTCATAAAGAACGCAGGGCATACAGATGTACTAGGAGATGAATCAAACCGAGCAAAATTCAATTTAAACTCTCGCAACACTGCAGGATGAAATATTGAGGAGGTGGAAGCAGAGTGTGTTGCTTTGCCATCATCAACGTGACATTTCACCAAAACAGTGTCACCGCCGCAAGTCCACTGTGCCATTTTTTTGCCTGATATGTACATGTACATATGTAGCGTCCGCTCATCGAATTCGGAATAAATAATGACAATATATTTATTTCTATGCCTACCGCCAAAATGTATTTAAGTGAATGCTTCGGGGAGGCTGGCTGTGAGGCTGCATCCAATCGACAAGTAAATAGAACTACTGTTCTACGGCGCACAGCCAAAGCTCAACATATATGTATAAATTGTATCCGCAACGCCTAGAACGGAGGCACCCACCAAATGGTCACTGTTATGTGTACTAACAAATATTGGCACTAAAGTGGAACGGCAGGGGAAGGGGGCGCGGGTGGTCGACGAGCGCCAGGATAATCAATTATGTGCGCACACTTTGCGTTTCGGTTTGCGCGTGACAAAATGTAAACTCCGCCAATGTTTGCCGTGCATGAGTGTTTGCGGTTCCACCTGACAGAGTGTGTGGTTGGGTGCGTGTTGCGGCCAGTCGCCGCTGATTATTGATTTTTGTTTTAGTGAGTGTTTCATGTTCGATGCCGCGAAATAAATTCCAGGCATCAAACGCTGTTCAATGCCGCTTCGTGCACCTCAACCGGCGCTGGCGTATATACTCCATACTCGTATAAAGCAATTGTCCCGATTGATAACTTTTCAACGACGCAAAATTACAGCATTTAAAGTTACTTAAAGCGCAATCAAAACTTGCACACTACAAAAAAAAGAAGAAGACCCCTACAAAAGCGTCACAGCAAGCATTTTAGTCCGAATCGTTTTAAAGTACGCAAATAAAACTTCAGCTGGTCATTCACTTTGCGACGTTATCTGCGAAAACAAGTGCACATCGACATGTGAGCCATGGCCCCTGAACGAACGGAGTGGCAATGAAAGAAATCGACACAAGGACATGCGGACAATGTCACCAGCAACATTCAGCATAAATTTGATAGCAACGCATCGTCCAGACGTCCGCTGCAGCACCCTGGACCCCCGGCAGCGGCCTTCAAAACAGACTGTGTCCTTTTACATCGGTGGCCAGCAAGAACTCGGCCTGCTCGGTACTTTA